TCAGAATGGAAAGGCAATTCAGAAAGAGGATTCCTAAAAATAGTACTCAAATAAAGGAGAGAGGAGGGCCATAGGAATTAATGTCAGTCTTATATGTCAGTCTTTTATTTTTAGGGATGTTTCTTTTTCATCGTCCGTTTGCAGTGAATCAGTGAAACTTTTAGAATTTTAAAACATTTTGACGGCTTCTGCCTACCAATTAAAAATAGGTATCCCATTCTATTTGAGAACACTTTCAAGTGTTCTTCAAGTGCACTTCTTAAAGTATTTCTCTAACTGGAGTATTTACCGTAATGGCCATTGTAATTCTACGTTGGTTTTAGTAAGATCTTGCCATTTGACTAAATATTTGCAATTTCTGGGAAACTACAGTTTTTAGACCTACAGTAAGCAGGTGTATGCCAGAAGGTGGCCTGGTCAACTTTAGATATAAAAGATTCCACTTTTTAGCTAAGCCTCTGGGTTTTTCAGAGTCAAACTGATACCTAAGAGACATGCCATGGGATTGGGAATTGTGGGGTGTTTTACCTCATTGTATAGAAATTGCCTTGAGGTTGGTGGGTGACCTTTTGTCCATTCTAACCCATTAGTGTGACCAACTTATTCTATCCCAGAAGTCTTCTTGAGGTGGCGAGTGCTCTAATAGCCTTGAACTTAAATGCTTGGCCCATGGCCACTAGTGTTTGCGCCTTATTTCTGGCTTCTGAGACTTTCATTATCAATTAGCCATTATTTAAAATAACACCAGAGGCCTCACACTGGACCTATTTTGCTAATAATTTCTTTGCTCCACCATCCCTCCTATATAAACCTTCCCTTTTGTACAACTAATGGCAGTTCCCCTTATTTGCCAGATGGGATACTGCCCAATTCATGTATCATTTAATGAAGCCAACTGTATCTTCAAAATTTACTTGGTTTTGCATCTGAGCTTGGATATAATTGGTTTCCAGTACAGGGTTAATGAGTCAGTCTAGACCGACAAGAGACTGTAAGAGAACTTCAGTCCTTTGCACCTGGTTCAGGCTACAATTTCATATTGAAATCCCTTCTCCAGTTCCATTCTGCAGTCCCCACTGACTGGCGTTGGCTGGTTTGGTACTTTCCCCAATTTCCCACAGTCCCCATTTACCAGAGTTTGCTGGTTAGCCTACATTATGAACTGGTGGTGGCCACTGGCTTGGGATGGACTGGATCTGACTTAAGAGCCAGACTGGGCCTGATTTGAGCTGGACTAGGTCCAGTGGAAGTCAGCACCTTCCTAAGGCACTGTTGCCTCAGCAGCTCCCTCGCCATGTTATCCAGATACAGATATTACTAACTGTTGGATTGGAACAAGCAGGGAAAGGAGAGTGATCTATACTACCTGCTGTTCCACACATCGTCCCATTCATTACCCTGAGAAATGTTTCTGTCCTGCCCTCCACGCTCTGGGTTTGCATTGACCTCTTTCAGGGGCTTGGAGAAACTTCAAACTACTCCTACTTTGCATTGGTCTTGTTTTGGGGGGTTGTCATTACTTCTTTATTTACTGTCTTTTTCTTTTATTACCACCCTTTTCCATAAATCTAATCCCATCTTTTTAAGTTTTAGGGGTTCCTCAGAATTTCTTCTCTGCTTATGCTTTGCCAAGCATCTGAATCCTTTATTTGCAAGGTTTACCAATAAACGTTTCTTGATTTACTCAACATTGGGACATCCATGCTTGAACTGGTCTTTTTTAGTCACTTGATTTTTTTCTTCATGCTTTGTGCCCCATCAAAGACCACACATATTTCTGTTTCTTTGCAAGATGGTGGCTATATGGTAGCTGTTCATTTGAACGAAGTCTTAGGAAGTCCAAGTTTACACCAAATATAAAGTCCAAAATATAGTCAGAGATAAATGATTATTCTATAAAGGAATCTTTTAACCATAACTAGTGCCTATATTGCATTTCAAGGTCTATTATTCTATAGTTTTAGGGACTATGAAAGAAATGAGAATGCCTATTTGACATTCTCACAGTTATCTCTTGTTTAAGCTTACTGTAATCCCAAACCAGTTCAGAGCCAATGAGCCAAAACCATAGTAACTCACTTCTCTCAGAGAACCTAGAACATAAAAGTATTAATGGAATATCATTAGAATTTGCTCTTGTAGTGTGATTACAATATTACTTTAAAATATGTGTGTGTTTATATCTAAATGCTACTACCTGTTAGCTCAAAGATAAGGCTGCAAAGAATGTTTATCAAAGTGTGATTTGTAATAGTAAAACTTAGAAACAATCTTGATAATTCATAAAAAATAGATTATACATTATAGTAGAATATTATGCAGCTATTTAAAAAAAAAGTGTAAAATAACATTTACTGATTCTAAAAGAGCAAGTCCAAATTGTTAGACAGTACAGTTGCATTTTGTTTTACATAAGGCTGTGAATATAGACAGATTAGGTTCTATACCAGTGTGTTAGTGGTTATCTTGGGGATATGACATCCTAAGTGATTTTTATGTTCTCCTTGCTTGTTCTTCTTGTTTTTCCCAGTGAACGAATCGTTTTTAGAATAAGTTTTTTAAAAGTTATTTAAAATAGCAAAAACTTCAAAATCACGTGTGTGAATATTCAGGGAATGGGTCTTGCTTTGCTTAAGCAGATATTTTCCATTTTGCCTAATGCAGCTAGTGCAGGGGAGGAAAGCAGTATCTTCAGCTCTCTCAGGATATCTGGCTAGGTTTGAAAATTAAACTGACAGATTACAGGAGAAAAGTATATAAGGTTATTTAGTAGGAGTTTTACATGAGACGGAAAACTTAATAAGGAAGTGAAGACCCAAAGAAATAGACTTGAGTATTTTATGCTAGGTTTGATGAAGATTGCACAGTAATGGAGAGGTATGATGAGTTAAGAAATATGAGGTAATTGTAGTAAACAAGGTGAGAGGCAGCTTAGCAAAGGCTTGTGACTGTTCTTCCTGGTGCCCCTTTGTCTTTGGAGGCAAGGATTCTCGTTTCCTCTTGATATAAGAAGGGCATACCTCACATGAGGATTTTATGATGTTTCAGGGAAGGAGGATGGGGCAGGGAGTCCTGTTTGTGCTATTTTCTCAAACTCCTTTGGCTGAAAATAATCAAGATGCTGAAGTGCCACATGTTGCAGTAAAATGTCCTGAACTCCAACAATTACCATGACCAACTTGTATTGGAATTTGATAATCACAGTTCAGCTCTCACTAATATTACGACTATTACTCAGTATTGTGACCAGGAGTCCCTTGAAGCAGTTACACCTTAGAGTCCTAAAATAATGTAGAGGAATAGAAAACTGAAGCCATTTAATTGATTATATGGTGTTCCTATAGCTGAGGAGGTTGTCAGTATCCTACAGTCTAAACCTGAACCCCAAAGAGAAACCTCCATAAAACTGTGTAAGTCCTGATACTAAATATCTTTTTGAGTCTCTTCTCAGTTGTTTCTTCTCAATCTCAACCCCATTCCATAGAATGTCAGAGTACAGAGCTTTAGTTGAAACCATCGAAAGAACAAAAAGTAAATTATTATGTAAATGCTAGATCTTTTAGCAGTATTAATGCTTGAAAAAGTTTCATGTCTTTTTGAATATTAAGATTCTTCTTAACCTTAACTCATTAGTACTACTTAACATTTTTCCACTTAGAAATATTATGAAAAAAAACGTGGCGCCTGGGGGGCTCAGTCGGTTGAGCGTCCGACTTCGGCTCAGGTTGTGATCTCACCTTTGGTGGGTTCAAGTCCCGCGTCAGGCTCTGTGCTGGCAGCTAGCCCAGAGCCTGGAGCTTGCTTTGGATTCTTTGCCTCCCTTTCTCTCTCTGGCCTTCCCCTGCTCACGCTGCCTCTCTCTCTCTCTCTCTCTCTCTCAGAAATAAATAAAACATTTAAAAAAAAATAGAAATATTATGAAAAAAAAAGAAATTAGGAATGTTAATTAGGGTTCAAGTAAGCTTCCAAAAGATTTGGTTGCTAGATTGTAATTGTAATAATGTATCCCTGCAATTAATTCTAAGCGTAGAATGTTAAAGTTTAAGGAAATTATATTAGTTGGCAATTCTGTTCAGTAACTAACAGCAAAGACTCCCAAAATACTGACTTACACAAGACAAAACTTCTTCCTGTCACAAAAAAAAAAATTCAGTTTGACAATTCCATAGTCATTAAAGACCCAAGCTATTCTCTTCTTTCTGCTCCGCTCTCTCTGGTGTATGACTTCCATTCTCACACTCACTGACGGCCCAGTATGGCTGTTGAAAGTGCAGCTATCAGGTCCAGGCAGAAAGGACAAACAGACTCTTACTGGGCTTTTTTGTTTGTTTGTTCCGTCTTTTAGATGCTTTCTTAGTAGTTCTACCCCCCAACCTCCCTATATCTATCTTACTGGCTGGAAGTTAAGCCTATAGCAACAACTACCTGCAAAAAAGGCTAGAACCTTGCTACTCAAATAAAACCAGACTTCTCTTACTTAGGAAGAAGGGGAGGATATTTGCTTTTGGAAAATGGCCAGCAGTCTCTGTCATAAGACCATAGGAGACCTCTCATCTAGATTGTTAAGTTTAAGGTAGTAAGACCTAGACATCCCTAGCTGTCTGTATACCTGGGTAGTGGCAGAGTTATAATCAGAACCCAGATGTCTTCTTGACCTGTGTTAACCAGAGGGGTAACAATTGCTTCTACTAATGATGAATTAGATAAAGTGATAGTAAATCGATCTAGCATTAATAGAAGAGATTTTCTTTGCCATCTTACCTCAACATTTATCTGCACTATACCCACTCACACACACACTTGAATATCTCAGAATATTTTGCCTGCTTAATTTGATAAATCTTTCTGTGATCATTTTCACCTCAAGATACAAGTTATATTGGCTATCTAGAGTCTGATTAAAATTAATATTTTTAATAGGCTCTAAAAATATTTACCTTTTTTGACATTAATGGTTTTATAACTTCAGGTAAATTTTTTTCTCAAATTTTCTCCTACAGTATAGCTGAAATACAGAAAGATGTGGAATACAGGTTGCCATTCACCGTAAACAACCTGACAATTAACATTAATATGTGAGTAGAATTGTATCCTATATTTTTATGTAATAGTATGTTTAAAAATCTTTTCACTATTTGGTTTCTTAGTTATTAGAAGTAAATGGTTTAAAGTAACCTTACTTAAAACTTTCTAGTAACCATAACTTCTAAAGTTAATGCAATTTCGTGAAACAAAGATTTTTTTAAAGACATCATTATAATGATATTTCCATAAGAAAAAACTATGTAAGAAGAAAGAAATGTAATAAAGAGATGTAATAATCTTTAGTATGAAAATTATTTTTATTGATTTGCACTTAGTCTTAGCTGGAGGTAGGCTGAAAGAGAAAGAATGATAAGGGATCTTGCTTGGAAAACTATTAGAGATACATTCACTTTTCCATCAAAAACAAGTTAAAATATTCTAGTTTTCAGCAACAGATACACTACATCAGCCAGAAAGTTCAAGGCTGAATTTGATCTGCTAAAATTTAAAAAAATTAAGTTAAAAATCAGTCATGAGAGAAAAGATTGGACATAATGATTGCTGAATTACCCATTTAACCATAAGTGCATTTATTAGTATTTAGCATGAAAGTATTAAATTACCACTATCTCAGATGGCAGTAGGTGACTAGATGCTGGAGAGGCATTTGGGCGAGGGAAGAAGCCCCTACCTGGAAGACAGAAACCATGGCTGATTCATCTTCATATTCTCACTGTCTAGCATAATGCCAGTACACAAAAGGCCTTGTTACATCCTAGTTGAATAAGTGAAAGAAAGTGTGAATGTATAACAGTACCACTTATGATGCTCCTATCTTGAAATATAGGAGCTTTTTGAATCCTCACAACAGCCCTGCAAACTGGGCAAATTACAGACACACAGGTAGTGAACAGCGTAGTCAGGATTAGAAACACAGATTGGTTGTGCTTCAAATACCATTCATTGCCTTTTTTACCCAACTTGTTTAACATCTTTAACTATGTAAATGAAGTAGTTTTGTCTCTCATCGAATGCTTTAGTAGGAAAAGCCAAAAAAGACCCAGTTTTCTTCTTGACAGTACTACAAAGCAAATAGTTTTCTGAGCCAACCAGGGGGACAGAGAGACCATTTAAAGGGTCGTATTCTTCTGAGTTTGAGAGATTTGGAAATCAGTGACCATATCCAGTAAATCCCATTTTTTTAAGACTTCAATCTCTAATTTTCAATTTGTGGTAGTTAAAAAATGTCATCTTTTTTTCTTTCTTTCTTTTTTTTTTTTTTGTATTGAGAATTTACTGTTCTTTACTTGAAACCATGTGATTGACCTCAGACTTGGGAGAGATGTGTTGATGGGCACAGTTAAAAGAGAGCCTTATAAAACCAAGGCATGATGACAGCTACAGTGTTTTAATTGTAGTACTTTTGCTTTTATCTATTCACTCTTTAAAAATTCAGTAGATGTTGAAATAATTCTTGGCAGCATTTCAAACATGGGAAAACCACAAGAAAATTATATGGACAGAACTGTGGTCCACTCAGTAGCCAGACTGGGTTACTGTGGTTCAGTTCACCTCATACAAATAACCTGATCTGACATTTATCTGAGATGTTGCATAACTTGGTTTATTGTGTTTGAAAGCAATTAATTGACTTGGTGTGAAGAATATTCTGTAACTCAGGGTATCCATATTCCACATAAGAAGGTTTTACTGTATTGAATTACTTTATGATCTTATTGCCAAAGTAGATCTTTTTGTCTATATTCAATCAACAACCATAAGAGGTCACTTATTACTGTGAATAATTAATTCAAATTAAAGTATGAAAATTTAATTTGCCTTTAACTAACTTTGTTTTAGAATTAATGACTGTATAATATAACACTTGTCTTTTTGTTTTTCATCTGTTCTACATTTAACAGATTGCTCCCTCCACAATTTCCTCAGGAAAAACCAGTGATCAGTGTTTATCCACCAATACGACATCACTTAATGGATAAACAAGGGGTCTATGTTACCTCTCCATTAGTAAACAATGTATGTATATAGTATAATTTATTTCAGAGTTGTATAACAGATGCATTACTTTTCTACTATATATTTAGAAATCTAAAATGCATTTAAAATCTCATTTGGAAAAAGTAATATTCCAAAAACAGTCACTATATCTAGTAGATAGTATTGATTTGAAGGTTATTTGTTTTTCTGTGATGAAGACCTGTCAATCTTAGAACTTTCATTGAAAATAGATCTTCCATAGTTGTCAGGAGGGGATAAAATTTAAATATGCCTCAGAGTTCTTAGGATACATAAATAATTGATTACTGTGAGGGACTATAACTTAAATGTACTCTTCAGTATTTATCTTTGAACCTTAAAATCATTTTTTAAAGTGTGGAAATATTTTAGCTCCATTATTGGTTAAATAGATTCTTAAACTGATTTATGGTATCGAGTCTATAGGAAAATATTGTTAAGTTGCTAATATGGTCATTTGACACAATATCCTTTGCTTTTCATTTAATGGCTTGCAGATGTGGATTTAACATTAAGTTGTAGGATGACATTATCCTAATAAGACTTAATTCTGAAAGTGATTTTAATCTTCCTCTATTACTTTCAGTTTACAATGCACTCAGATCTTGGAAAAATTATTCAGAGTCTATTGGATGAGTTTTGGAAGAATCCTCCAGTTTTAGCTCCTTCTTCAACAGCATTTCCATAGTAAGTATATTTGTAACAAAACACCCATATGTATATATTTATTTTTACTTATTTTTCTCAAAGTAAGCATAATACAGTTTAAAATTTCAAATGCTGTTAAAAGGCAGTTGTCTTTTTTCCACATTCCCACCTTCATACAGATAAATTTATACTTTTCAGAGGCAGCTCTGTTTTCTTCTTTTAGCTGCTTCTCCAATATTTACTTTCATCTTCCTGAATAATGTAAACATAATATAAACATACATTTCTTAATTCTCTCATTTTGGGTATGATATATCAACCTGTTATGATTGAGAGTTTTAGGTATCTTCATCTTTGACAAATGATTCTTTCCTCTCAACCTCTCAGTGATTGATGTCATGATTTTTACCTAAATTTCATGTTTGATATTTTCATTAATTTAATTCTGTAAATATTCCCTGTTGCTAAGTCATGTACTTGGTCATGATTACATTTCCTTTATGATAGAACTTTTTGCTTTTTTCTGGAGATAACAATTACTTCCATGTTTCCATTGTTTATTTTATCTTTTTAATTTTCCACATCTTTCAGCAGCTTTGAAAAATACCTTTCAAGTCATTTTTACAGCTCATTAAACCTTCATAACACCTATTTTCCTTGTGAATCTGCAGTTTGGTTAGAGACTACTGGAGACACCTTAACTTTGTTTCATCTTTTGCATTAACCATTGTGGTTTGAAATCCAGGGGTTGAAGTCTTCTGAAGGCTGACTTAATCTTCATGTCTGGCAGTTAAAGCAGTCATAAAGTCCCACCCAGCTTCAAAGGGGAGAGGAATAGACTCCATCTCTTGATAGAGTGGCAAAGGTCAAGAAATCTAACTCTAGACATTTTGAAAAATACAAAATGGCACAGTTCTTCTGGCAACGAGAATTTACTTCTCTCCTGTATGCAAAAATGTACTCAGCCCTTTACAACCAGTGGGACTTAAAGCCTAAAATTGTAAAAATCTGTGGCTTTGTTCTGGGAGAACTGGGAGGGCCTTAGGAAGCTGAGTTCCCACCTTTAAGGAGAGAACACTCCAAACAGCCTGAACAGAAACAGCATAGAATCAGCAGTTTGAAAAATGCCTGGGGCATAAAGAAGGAAGAGTGATTTACTCAATCGTAGTGTTTGTCCAGAGAGACAAGGATCTCAGAGACCCTCCTGCCCATAGGAAAAAAGAAGCTGGCACATGCCTTTTCTTTGCCCCTCCCCTCAGCTTAAACATACCTGTGGGAACCAGCATGGCGCCAACACTTGCTATGTAACTGGCTTTTGCGGATGCCTGCCACCCCCCCATGCTTCATTGGATCTGCCCTCTCCAGTCACACTTGCTTCAGTCCCCAGCACTGTGAGGTCCCTCCCCTAGAAGAGCTGCACAGCCTTTGCCAGCACCCCAGTACACACTGTTTGCAAGCATCAGTCCGTGCCGCAGGGGTGACTGTCAGGTGCTGCGAAAACCTGAGATGAAACATGGTAAAAGTGCATGCTCTGCCCAAGCACTCTATGCAGATCCACTTAGGCCATCTCAGTCCCCACCAGAGAGGCTCCAGATATTATTTAGCAGGCAGACCAGTGCACCCCACCTACCTAGGAACAAACACCACCCACACCAGGCCAAGAAAGCCATTGCAGAAAACTGGACTGAAGGGAAAAGCAACAGGAACACAATAGGGCAAACGCAACACACAGAGGCACCTCTCCCCCCCCCGAAGTGCCAAGTTCTGAGGAACAGGGAGCACTGCACTGCAGGGCATTGCAGGACCTCATAGATGTAGCTGACCTTCCTAGCACATAGAGAGTCAGACAAAATGAGGAGACAGAGAAATATGTCCCAAATGAACGAACAAGACCAAACCACAGCAGGAGACCTAATGTCAGGAGACCATGAGTAATATGCATGATAGAAAATTTGAAGTATTGATCGTAAAAATACTTACTGGCCTTGATAAGAGTGGAGGACATTAGACCCTTAATAAAGAGATAAAAAAGAACTACTGAGACATGAAGAACACAATAAATGAAATTAAAAATGCACTTAGTGGAATAAATAACAGGATACATGAAGCAGAGGGACGAATTAATGGTCTGGAAGAGAAAGTAATGGAAAGTAACCAAGCTGAACAAATGAAAGAAAAATAACTGATGCAAATTGGGACTACTCTTAGGGAATTCCGTGACTCTGTCAAGTGTAAGAACATTCACATTGTAGAGATCCCAGAAGAAGAAGGGAGTGGGGGGAGGCAGAAAATTTATTTGAAGAAATAATAGCTGAAAACTTCCCTAATCTGGGGAAGGAAACAGATATCCAGATTCAGGAAGCACAGGGATCCCTTCTAAAATTCAACTCAAGGAGGTCCATACCAAGACACAGTAATTAAAATGCCAGAAAGTAGTGATAAAGAGAGAATGTTAAAAGCAGCAAAAGAAAAGAAGACAGTTGCATACTAGGGAAAACCCATAAGGGTATCAGTGGATTTTTCAGCAGAAACTTTGCAGGCCGGAAGGGAATGGCATGATATATTCAAAGTGCTGAAGGGGAAAAATCTGCAGCCATGAATATTTCTATCCAGCAAGTCTATCATTCAGAATAGTAGGAGAGGTAGTTTCTCAGACAAACAAGAACCAAAGGAATTCATGACTGTTAAACCAGCCCTACAAAAAATAGTAAAAGGGACTCTGAGTGGAAAAGAAAGACCGTAAATGATAGTATGGAAGATAAGTATATTTGTAAAAATCAGTCAGGGGATCAAAAAGGATGTAAAATATGATACCATATACCTAAAACATGTCAGGAGGAGGAGTAAATGGGTTCAAACGTCAACAACCATCAACTTAATGTCGACTGCTATATTCAGAAGATGTCATACAAACCTATGGTTTCTATAATCACAAATTAAGTAATAGATGGGGTGCCTGCACGGCTCAGACCACTAAGCTTTCGACTCTTGATTTCAGCTCAGGACATGATCTCTTGTGGTGAGATCAAGCCCTGCATTTAGATCTCAAGCTGACAGCATGGAGCCTGTTTGGGATTCTCTCTCTCTCTCTCTCTCTCTCTCTCTCTCTCTCAAAATAAACATTAATAACAAACAGTAATAAGGAAAGAATAAAGAGAAAGGAATCCAAGTATATCCCTAAAAAACCCCAGCAAACCAGAAAACAGCAAGACCAGAAAGGATCAGAGAAAAACTGTAGACACAACCACAAAACAATGAAATAGCAATAAATACATATATATTGATACTTAACTTTGAATGTAAATGGACTAGACACTCCATTCAAGAAATATAGGGTGACCAAATGGATAAATCAAGACCCATGTATCTGCCGCCTACAGAAGTCTCATTTCAGCCCTGAAGACACCAACAGATTGAAAGTGAAGGGACAGAGAAACATTTGTCTTGCAAATGGATGTCAAAAGAAAGGGTCCTATATCATAATAAAGGAGACTTTCCAACAAGAGGTTATAACAATTATAAATGTTCATGGACCCATCTTGAAAGCACCCAAATACATAAAACAGTTAACCACAAACATAAAGGGACTAAATGATACTAGTACAGTAAAGGAAGGGACTTAAAACCCCACTTATATCAATGGACATATCATCCATGGAAAATCAGACTGTGTCCTAAATGACACACTGGGCCTGATGAATTTAGCAGATATATTAGATACATTCCATCCTAAAACAGGAGAATACATATTCTTTTCAAGTGCACATGAAACATTCTCTAGACTAGATCACATATTAGGCCACAGAACAATTCTCAGCAAATTCAAAAAGACTGAACTGATACCATGCATCTTTTCAGATCACAATGATGTGAAATTGGAAGTCAGCCACAAAAAAAATCTGGAAAGAGGACAAATACATGGAGGTTAAATGACATGCTACTAAACAATGAATGGGTCAAACAAATCAAAGAAGAAATTAAAATTTACATGGAAACAAATGAAAATCAAAACACAATTGTCCAGAATCTTCAGAATGCAGTAAAAGTGGTTCTAAGAGGGAAGATTATAGCAGTACAGATTGCCACAAGAAGCAAGGAAAATCTCAGACAAGTTAACATTATATTTAATGAAGCTAAAAAAGAAGAAGAAGAAAACCCAAAACCAGGGGAAGGAAATAAATAATAAAGATTTGAGCAGAAGTGAATAATACAGAAACTAAAAAAACAAAAACAAAAAAGAGTAAAAAAGATCAAAGAAACCAGGAGCTGAGTATTTGAAAAAAAATCAATAAAATTGATAAACCTCTAGCCAGACTCATCAAGAAAAAGAGAAAGGACCTGAATAAACAAAATAACAAATGAGAGAAGAGGAATAAAAGCATAAATACAAACAATTCTAAGAGAATGTTATGAAAAAATATTTGCCAGCAAACTGAACAATCTAGAAGAAATGGGTAAATTCCTAGAAACCTATATATACCTACCAAAACTGAAACTAAAAAGAAACTAAAAACTTGAACAGATCAGTTACTAGTAAGGAAATTGAATCACTAATCAAAAAACTCTCACCAAACAAAAGTCTAGAACCAGATGACTTTACAGGCAAATTTTACAAAACATTTAAAGAAGAGTTAATACCTATTCCTCTCAGACTATTCCACAAAATACACGAGGAAGGAAAACTTCTAAATTTATTCTCTGAGGCCAGCATTACCCTGATAAGAAAACCTGAAAAAAGACACCACAAAAAAACTGAACTACAGTTCAGTATCTCTGAAGAACATAGATGCAAAAATCCTTAATAAAATACTGCTAGCTAACCAAATCCAATAATACATTAATCATTCACCATGATCAAGTGGCACTTATTCCTGGGATGAAAGGGTGGCTCAGTATTTAAAACTGCATCAGTGTGGTACCTCATGTCACTAAGACAAAGGATAAAAATGATATGATCATTTCAGTAGATGCAGAAAAAATTTGACAAAACACATCATCCATTCATGATAATAAAAAAAATAAGCAAAGTAGATTTAGAGAGAACATACCACAAAATAATAAACGCCATATATGAGAAGCCAACGCTAATAGCATACTCAATGGTGAAAAACTGAGAGCTTTTCCCTTATGATCAGGAAGAAAACAAGGATGTCCACTGTCAATAGTTTTATTCAATAAACGTAGTATCAAAAACCCTAGCCACAGCAATCAGACAAGAAAAATAAAATGCACCCAAATTGGTAAGTATTTTGTGAATTTGACTACCGTATGCCTTGTTGATGGTTGGTTCATGTTGAATCTAATGGGAGTTCTCTGTGCTTCTTGGAATTTGAGGTCTGTGCCCTATAATAGCTTAGGAAAGTTTCCTGCTGTAATTTGCTCACATACACTGTCTGCCCCTTTTTCTCTCTCTTCATCTCCTGGGACTCCTATGACACAAATGTTTTTCCTTTTGAATAAGTCATTGAGTTCTCTAAGTCCTATGTTAGGATCTTTTGCCCATTTTACCTCCTTTTTTTTTGCTTCATTATTTTCTGTAATTTTATCTTCTATATCACTGCTTCACTGCTCTGCTTCATCCTTGCTGTCACAGTATCCAGTCAAGATTTCATCTCGGTTATAGCATTTGTAATTTTGGCCTGACTAGATTTTAGTTCTTTTATCTCTGCAGAAAGGGATTATCTGGTGTCTTCTATGCTTTTGTCAGCCCCAGCTGGTATTATAATCATGATTTAAAATTCTAGTTAAGACAGCTTATTTATATCTATCTGTGTTGATTAAATCCTTGGCCATCATTCCTTCCTGTTCTTTCTTTTGGGGTGAATTCCTGTCTGGTCATTTTATGGGAAGAAAAACAATAAAATAAAATAGTAAGAAAATTGTAAACAAAGCAGAGCAAAACAATCAAATAAAGGAAGCTAGATCCTAGGTGCATTTCACCTGTTTTTTGAAAGAAGCTTGATAGAGAAGAGAAAAAAAGGAAAGGAAAAAAAGTTTAAAATTTTTTAAAAATAATTAAATAGAATAAAATAAACGATGATAAGTACTTTTAAGAAAAAAAATTTTTCTTTACCTCTCTCTCTCTTTACCCATGAAAGAGAAAGAAAAAAGAAAACAGAAGCAAAAACAGAAGCAAAGAAAAGGAACAGTAGACTAAGCAGTTTGAAGGGATTTGTGCTGGTCTTCTGGGGGATGCGCCTGGAGGGTGAAGATGGGTGGGACTTGGTGTAACGGCTCCCTTGTCCACTTGGTGGCGCTGCTTAGCTCATCTGTGTGTGCACTACAGGTGGAAATGGCTTCAGGCAGCTCTGTAGTCTCTGGTATGGACTTTTTGTGCCCTCACAGACACACAATCAAGCACCCCCTCCTTTGTCTCAGACTTCTGGCCACTCCCCGCCTTTACCTTGTTTGTGTCCAATCTGTCTCCTTCTAGGGTTTTATTTCAAATGGGACTGTGTTTCAAAACCCCATACCTCAGATATCCTCCCTACTTGGACCCACGCTGATTCTCTGGGGGAAGGGTCTCAACAAGCAATGGCCAGGTGCCAGCCTGTCCCAGAAAACATTTGTCTGATCACACAGTGGCAGAGGCTCAGAGTTTATGGTAAATCACAACAAACAGCCGGTGCCAGGATTTGTCTCACTTTGGCATCTCTGTTCCAATATCAGTAAATGTGGCAGCACTCTGGGGTCTGCTGGGACTTTTGCTCTCAGGGAAACCTTATGGCATCTACCCAGTGCATTTCAAGTAAGGGAACTGCTTCTCCCTGTGTGGCACACAGAACCTCAGACCCCGCTGCCTACTCCTGGGTATTGGTCCCACTTCCTTACCAGAGCACTGTCAGGCACTGAGCTCCAAAACTTCAGACTGCACTCTGCTGTTTCTAGAATCCTGGCCCTATTGAAACCCTCATCTTTCTCCCCATCAGTGGCTTTGGGGAACAGAATTCTTGAGTCCCCTGGGAGTCCTTTCACTCTCTCTTTCTCTCCAGCTGCTTTTTTCCTTGATCCCAATGCACTGCACTCTTCTCCTTTCTCTTTGTCTCTGTCCTCTCTCCATGATATGGTTCCTTACCCTTTATGGCTCCGTGGTTTTTCTCTCCCCCAATTCATCTCTCTGCACCAAGTACCTGCCAAGTTCTCTGGCTCAAATTACACAGATTGTTGCATTAGTCCTCAGATCACTTTCCTAGGTGTTCAAAATTGTTTGATGCTGATCTGTGTTTCAGGGAGGAGGCAAGCTCAAAGTCTCCACACTACTCCTCCACCTTAACTCTCTATCTAGATTCAGCCTAATTCTTAAAAGGCACTAAGATTTTTTGAATGGTCAACTTCAGCTTAAAATCACCCACTGCATTAGCCCTCAATAAGAGAGTCAGCTGGTCTTTTGGTTGATACCTTTGAAGCCAGGCATCAACTTTTTTTCCTCTACCTTTGAAAGTCGTAGATGGCATTTTCTTCCAACAGAAAGCGATTTTGTCTACATTGACAACCCATTCTTTAGTGTAGCCACCTGTATTAGTTGTCCTTGCTAGATCTTCTGGGTAACTTGCTGCAGCTTCTACATCAGCACTTCCTGCTTCACCCTGCATTTCTCTGTTATGAAGAAGGCTTCTTTCCTTAAACCTCATGATCCAAAATCTGCCAAGTTCCCACATTTCTAATGCAGCCTCCTCACCTCTCTTAGCCTTCACAGAACCAAAGAGCATTAGGGCCTTGCTCTGGGTTAGGCTTTGGCTTAAGGGAATGTTATGGCTGGTTTTGTCTTCTGTATAAACCATTAACATTTTCTCTACATCTGCATGAAGTCTGTTTCATTTTCTTTTCATTCGTGTGTTCACTACAGTAGCACTTTTAATTTCTTTCTGTCAAGAACCTTTCCTTTCCATTCACAACTTGTCTGTTGGGCCCAAGAGGCCTAGCTTTTTGCCTGTCTTGACTTTTGATATACCTTCCTCACTAAGCACAATCATTTCTAGATTTTGATTTTAAGTAAGATACCTGTAACTCTCATTTGAACACTCAAGAGGCCATTGTAAGAGGCCACTGGCCTAATTTCAGTACTTACATCTCAGGGAAGAGGGACACAAATGGGGACCAGACTGTCAGTGGAGCAGTCAGAACATACACATTTATTGATTAAGTTCACTGTCTTATATGAGTGTACATCATGGCACCCCAAAACAGTTACCATAGTAACATCAAAGTTTACTGACCACAGATCACCATAACAAAAATAATGAAAAAGTTTGAAAATGTGATACCAAGATACAAAATGAGCAGATGCTTTTAGAAAAATGGTGCCGCTAGACTTACTTGATGCATGGTTGTCACAAACCATCAATTTTTTAAAAGATACAGTATCTGTGAAGCACAATAAAATGAGTTATCTTTTATATTTTAGCATTTTAGCAGTTCTTCTATGCACCTATTTTCCTTTAAAATCTTTGAGAAAAGCAGTCATGACTGTCAGTCATATTTTTCTAGATAAAGTGAGAGTTACTATTCAAACAACCTGTCTTGAATACATTTTCTGGATTAAATGTCCTCCAGTCTTATGAAGATAGTGATTAATGCTAACAGAATGCTCAAAATTTACTTCTCTGACTAGTTGGATTGTGTTTTCTAAAACATTTTTCTTTTTCATGGAAACCACACTTCTATTGGTGTGGCGTAATATTTTATCAATTTATATAATATTTAAGTTCAGTTATATGATTACAGTAAAAAGATCCTACCTCTCTTGCGTGACCATTGTTATTTAGAGCCATTTGGGAATAATTTTATAGGTTTACCCCTGAAGTCTAATCTAATGTTTTTTCTGTTTTTCTCTTTAGCCTATACAGTAATCCAAGTGGGATGCCTCCTTATGCATCTCAGGGTTTTCCATTTCTTCCTTCGTATCCGCCACAGGAAGCTAACAGGACTATCACTCCTTTGTCTGTTGCTGACACTATTTCTTCTTCAACAACAAGTTACACAACAGCCAAACCCGCTGCTCCTTCTTTTGGCATCCTTTCAAATCTGCCATTACCTGTTCCCACAACAGACACTTCAGCACCGGTGGGTATTTTCAGTTTTCTACATTTTGTATCCTTGGAATCATCTAGTCAACAAATACTTACTATGTGCCTTTTTGTGGCATCCACTAAGTAAGGCACAAAAGATAAAAAGATTAAATCATACTTTCAACTGAAGTAGCAAACTCAGAAGTGACAGCAAATTATGAAATAATTGCAAATAAGAAACTTGCAGTAGAGTAGAAGAGATAGTATGTAATCATGGTGAAGACAGAGCACTCCTGAAACTGAGTTGGCACTAGAAGGGCCGCCTTGATAAAGAACGTGTTTCTGCTTTTGCACCACTTTGTCCTCAGTGCCTCAAGAACACTGATAAATTTAGTAGGCGCTCAGTTAAAATGAGACAGATAACTGAATGTATTTGTTAATGTTTGAGGCCAGATTCTGATAGATGGTTATGAATTTGTCAGGATGAAAGGGGTTATATAAAGTTTTCTGTGAAGAGCCAGTTGTATTGACAGAGTCATGGAGGCATAACCCAAATTGCATTTTTGTGAAATGCCTTTCGAAGATCTCTCTGGCTGACATGTAGGAAATGGTCATAAAGGCACAAGATGTGACCGTGGGAGAGAAGTAGGTCTCAGACTGTGGAGGATCTACTGTCTGCCTTGCCAGGGGCTTCAGGTGCCTCATTGGTTTAGCAAATAGTATGTTCTTCACTTAAGTGGTGACTGTTACTGTGTGGGATGCCATCGAGAGACTGTGTGAATAAAACATCTAAAATAATTGAAAAACTTTCATTTTAACCTTCAGTGAGTATCACCCATTGTAACACTCAAATATTGTAAAACCTTATTATATCCCACTGCACTAGTTACAGTGTTTGTAAATAATCAAGAATATAGACCCAAGTGGACTTTGTTTTTCCAGTACCTTTCATCATTATATTAATGAATATTATGAACAAATATTATGAATATCATGAAAATTATAATTAGCATTAACAAAATTACAAGAGAACTTTCCAAGGGTCCTCAATTTTAAAAAGTTATTTTTGGGGGGGAGGGGATGAGGGGTGATGGGGATGGAAGAGGGCACTTGTTGGGATGAGCACTGGGTGTTATGTGGAAACCAACTTGACAATAAACTATATTAAAAGAAAAAAAATAAAAAGTTATTTTTATTTAAGCAATGGATTACCTATTATCTCCCCTACTGTCTTGTGGAACTTAGTTATGCAACTACTCAGGCTTTTGCCAATTTAATAAATTTTGTTTATATTCAGTATCTTTCACATGAGACAAATGTATTTTTATGTATCAGTGCAGTATCAATTCTCTGCACTTGTCAGAGATACAGTTAAGAGTTTTATTTAACAGTCATATACTTGCCCAGGAAATAGCTAACATAGGTACTCACATGATCCCCACCAAAAAAAAACTAAAAAAACCCTATGTATATATAAAGTACACTGAAAAAAAAAAAAAGAAAGAAGGGGAGGGCACCCGATGACTCAGTTGGTTAAAGGTCCAGCTTTGGCTCAGGTCCCAGTCTCCCAGTTCATGAATTCAAGCCCTGCATCAGGCCCTCTGCTGACAGCACAGAGCCTTCTTGGGATTCTCTCTCTTGCCCTCTCTCTCTCCCCTTCACCTCCCCCTGCCCACATTCTTTCTCTCTCTCAAAATAAATAAACTTTAAAAAAAGGGATAGGGGAGAATCAGGACAATGTAAAGTACAAAGATGAAGGTGATAATTACAAGATGTGATACATTAAAAATTACTTTTCTAAGTAAATAGGAGCAATCAAAAAGATGGCTAAAATATAATCATTTCACACTCTCTTTAGATAAGCCAAAATGGTTTTGGTTACAAGATGCCAGACGTCCCTGATGCGTTTCCAGAACTCTCAGAACTAAGGTAAAAATCCTGGAGAGTAACATCATCTATTTGACAGTGATAAATACAAACCATCTCATCATTTTCATGTCCATGTTAAAGAAAAAGGGTTTTTTTTTTAATCCTCATTTTTTCTGTATTGTGGTTATCTTAGTGGGAAAGTTTTATAAATCAGTTTTATGTCTTCTAGTTTGTATTTATTGAGTAGTATGTACCCAGGGATTTTTCTAGATGCTGGGAATGACATAATAGTTACCAGGATAACAGTGTCTTTTCTCTTTTGTGGCTTACATTATTGTGAAAATTATTTCTCAGTACGTTATCTCCAGTGATTTCAAATATTTCTTGGCCTATTTTAGATCTTCTCATTGTTCCTTTTGTAGGTAGAACTTAGTACATAGAGAAACACATTAATGTTCTCAGAAAGTGGTAGCACAGTGTTTTTTCCAGAGTCAAATTGGTGGGAAGTTTAAGGTCCTGTTTTTCGTGGAACACTGCTTCTCTAAGACACATCATGAAAAATTATTCTCTGGCCACTCAACTTTGGGAAGCATTGCATCCTTTACTTCATTGAAGTTTTATGGTACACATAAGGCTGTTATTACTAATGCTTCTGAATGTAATTAAAAATTTTGTTTTTGTAGTACTTTTTGTGTTTGGGATATATCCTACCAGGGATGTGCAGCCAGCTACCCATGAGAAATCCTACCGTTAAAAAAAAAAAAGTTTAATTGACTCAGTGTTCTACAGTCATTTTTAGGAAGTAATGATTTGTTATTTTCTAGTAATAGTCAGTGAAGGCTTATATCATGTACATGTTAAGGTTTTCTAAGCACTGTAATGTTTGCAGCAACCCCGTAAAATAGGTACTGTTCTTTTTCCCATGTTATAAAGGATTGTCTTTTTTCTTCCTTCTTTTAAAAAAATTATTATGAAAATGTCACAAATACAAAAAGGTGAACCTCTTTGCATCATATACCCTTCTTCTAACCCTTTTTGGGAAGTATGGGTATGAGTCAGAACCAAATCCCAAATATAACATCATTTTCACTCATAGTTCTTCACTAAATTTCTCTACCAGGTAAGGACTTTCTGTGTACCATAACCCCAATCATCATCATACTTAACAAAGTTAATGATAATTCTTTAATAGTATCTGGTTACCCCAGGATCTTAATAATTAAATCTCTTCATTGATAGTTTATGTGAATCGGGATCAAAACAAGGTTTACCTATTGTATTTGACTACTGTATTTATTACGTTTCTTTTAGTTGTGAACCATTTCTCCCCATCTTTATTAGTATACATATAAGTATATATACACACATATACATATGTAAATACAGATATGTGGTAACATAAATTATATACATTATGTTATTATAGATTTGTTGAAGAAATTGGTTATTTGTCTTGTAGAATTTCCTATATCCTGTTTTTGCCTAATTGCATCCTTATAGTACCATTGGAGATATTTGTCTGTCTCCCTATTTCCTTCTATTGGTAGCTAGATCTAGAGTTTTAATTAGACTTAGGTTCAGTTTTATCCATTCATTGAGCTGTATTCCTTAAACATACACAGTGTTATATGTCAATTATACCTCAATGGTGAACAAAAAAGATTTAGATTCAATTCTTTTGGCAAGAATACTTATATCGGAATTAGTACATCCTTTTACATCACATAAGGCAATAATGATGTCTGGTTGCCCTATTTTTAGAGACATTAAGGTTGAAATAGGTTGAAACACCTAACTCGTTGGCTATCCATTATTTCATTAAGGCTTGCAAGTATGATTTTCTATTTCTATTTAGTTTTATCGAAATACACTTCATATAAAAACAGAAAGACAAATGCTTATTTGATTTTTTATCAATTTTTAGAATATTGTGTTGATGCACACGCAAGCTCCCAAGTTTCTGATATGCAAAGGTTTTGGTTTGTTTCTGTAGTTGTTTCTGTGTTACTAAGAATTTGTAGATTTTTTAAAATTGTATTTGATGTGTTTCAGTCTATTGCAGTCATTAGTCTTTTTGATTCTGTCTTTAGTCACGAGCAAACTTTGGACATTGGCTTCTATATCCTTTCTCACAAACGATGCCATGGGCTCATCATGGAATTTATTTTCTCTGCCCTAAAGTCCTTTCTCTGAAAGGCAGCTGTTCTTTTTCAAAACTACACCACCAAGATTATTACTGTCATTGTTGAATTCAGGATAAGAGTTTGTTTTTTATACTTTTATATTTCTTTTGTGTTTTGGCTGAAATGTACAGCCAAATGCTATTTTTTTAAGTCTGAATAATACTTCTCTGGATGGTACGTAACTTAGAAAAAAAAAAAAGCCAGCTTCATTTATTCCTATTTATTCTGAATTTCATTGATTTCTTTTAGTTTAATTTTTTAATTACATAATGCTTTTATATGGATCTATAGTCAAAACTAATAGGTATTTTCAGAAAGGATTAGCTTCCATTCCTCTCCATCCATTCAGTTCCCTCTTTTACCCTGTGGATATTGACTTTTGGTTTTGGTTTAGTCCTCCGTGATAGCTTTTCTTTAAATATTTTATGAATATGTATACAGACACATATCCATATACTTATCTTTTATTGTGACAGTCACACACATTTTAGCTAAACAGGTACCAAAGTTAACTTGTTGTTACTGTTCATGAACCCTACTCTCCTTTCATGATTGGATGCTATACTTGGACGGATTTATGTTCCATTGCGGTTGATGTTTTATTTTGCTTTTAAGGTTATAATTTGCCTTCTTACATACATAAAAATTGATATGTATAAAAATGGTTAGTTCAAAAATTATTTAGAGCCCTATCAACTGAATAAAATGGAAAAATTGTGAATATTTATCATCATGGAGAGAAACAAGATGACTGATATTCAATAACTTTTCTCTTGTGTTGCTAGTGTCTCACAGCTTACAGATATGAATGAGCAAGAGGAGATATTACTAGAACAATTTCTGACTTTGCCTCAACTAAAACAAATTATTACCGACAAGGATGACTTAGTAAAAAGTATTGAAGAGCTAGCAAGTATGTCTTTCCTTACTTCTTAAATTTCCCAAGAAAAATACAATCTTTACCCAGAAAAAAACCAGACACTTATCTTACAGGAAAAAATCTTCTTTTGGAGCCCAGCTTGGAAGCCAAAAGGCAAACTGTTTTAGATAAGGTGAGTTAGTTGTCATTTTTAAAAAATCCGTATCATTTAAAAATAAACTAAAATAACATTTTTTTAAATCTTTTAGTATGAGTTGCTTACACAACTGAAATCTACTTTTGAAAAGAAGATGCAAAGGCAGCATGAACTTAGTGAGGTAAGATGTTTAGCTCTTCCTTTACCATAAAATTTGTTTCTATATTTAATTTATTCATTTATTTTAATTTTTTAATGTTTATTTTATTATCTTTGAGACAGAGAGAGACAGAGTGTGAGCTGGGGAAGGAGTAGAGAGAGGGAGACACAGAATCCAAAGCAGGCTCTAGGGCTCGATGCAGGGCTCAAAACTCAGGAGCTGTGAGATCATGACCTGAAGCAAAGTCAGATTCTCAACCGACTAAGCCACCCAGGTGTCCTTATTTATTTATTTTAGAGAGAGAGAGAGAGAGAGTGCAAGACTGGGGAGAGAGGCAGAGGGAGAGGGGGAAAGAGAGAGAGAGAATAACTTAAGCAAGCTCCACGCTGAGCACAGAGCCTAACATGGGGCTTGATCCCATGACCCTGGGATCGTGACCTGAGCCAAAAATCAAGATTCAGATGCTTAACCAACTAAGCCACCCAGGCGCCCCATAAGAATGTTTAACTAAACTCAATATGCATGAGCCACATTCTTACTTTCATTACCAGAAAGCATTTATTAGGCAACTTCCTTTATAAGGTTTAATACCTTTAAGTGAGATGAATAGCTGTCAGTAATGGGAGTGTTAGATATGATTTGTGCTCATGCAGGAGCATCTTTGGTTTCAAAGTAGAAAAATACAAAAAGCCCCATAAGTACTTTCCTGGGAATGTTATTATAATGCCACTTTACCTTCTATAATAAAATCTAACAACAAAAAACTTGAACTTCATGTCATTTCTAAGCTTATGTACAGATACCTTAAATGAAAACTTAGAAAATTGAAAAACATAGGAAATTATAAAGTTTAATTCACACAAATAATGGACTTTATGCTAGAAATCCAATTATTAAATATAAAGCACTTTATAAAATTATTTACAGCACTTATAAAATTCAACTTACGCTGCTCTAAGCTCTTTTCATATATTGCCCATTATTCCCTCAGAATCCTAGGAGGAAGGCGTTGTTATTACTTTTTCATAGTACAGATAAGTATTCTGAGGCACACGGATATTAAATAACTTCCCTGAGGCCATATAAATAGAAAATATCAGAATCAGGAATCACATGTAAGCCATCCTCCCTCTTAACCAGAAAATTCCAAGGGACTCAAATGAAATACTCTTAGATGCACATTAGAGTTCAGTAGATAGTGAATAAGCTTTTCACAGTATTCACGTGATTCGTTATAAACTCTTAGTAAACTGAGAATAGAAATTAATCTCTTAACTTGATAAAGAATATTAGAAACCAACAGCAAAAATCAGAATTGCTAAACATTTTAAGATCTCCTTAATATTAGGAATAAGACAGGGGTGCCCCAGTGTAACCCCTGCTTAACAGTGCTGGGAAGCTTCAGGCCGCTGCAGCAAGACCGGGAGAAAGAGGCACAGTGTAAATGAAAAAATAAAATCGTGGTTTACCAGAAACAAGCAGAAATCAAATAAGCAGAAATCCTAGCAGATTGAGAAAGTTTTCCTTGGGTTTCAGCAGCTGCTAATGCAAGGTGAGGTGCAGAAAAAACTCATTTACAATAGCACCAGAACTGTCAAGACACTTAGAACTGAACCCTGTGAAGTAAGCTAGGAAACTTTACTAAATGACAAAAAAGAACACTTGAGTAAATGGAAAAACCTAGATTATTGATGGAGTGAAAGATACACTAGTATAAAGATTTCATTTTTCCCAAAATAACTTAAAATTTTAATTTCAGAGAGAGTGCATGAGTAGGGGAGAGGAGCAGAGGGGGAGAGAGAGAGAGAATGAGAATCCTAAGCAAGCTCCATGCATGCGAGATGTCTTTCTGCACTTATGACTTCTTCAGTTTTTTCAGCAATGTTAGTATAGGTCGTTTACCTATTTGGTTGAATTTAATCCCATCACTTTTGCCCTGTTCATTAGAAGTGTGTCCCTGTGTCCAGCCCACACTCAAGTGGAGGTGACTTATACAAGGGCAGCAACACCAGGAGCTCGGGATAATTAGGGCTCCTCTTAGAGGCCGCCTACCGCAATGACGTAATTCCTAAATCCCTCATTTAATGGTTCACAGCGAATGGATTGCGTCTATTTATGTTAGGTATCTTCTACCTCTATATCCAAAAGCTGAGGACTTGGGTAGTAGCAGATTTCCTCAGCAAGATGTGGTATAAGGCATATAATGAACTGCTCCTCCCTACCCCTGTCTCATTTCCTTTGCCTCTCAGGAGCTCTTTTGAGCAGTGTAAACTAAATTAGTGCTTGATTTTCTTTTTCAGAGCTGTAGTGCGAGTGCCCTGCAGGCAAGATTGAAAGTAGCAGCTCTTGAAGCTGAGGAAGAATCTGATAATATTGCTGAAGATTTCTTAGAGGGAAAAACTGAAATAGATGATTTTCTCAGTAGCTTCATGGAAAAGAGAACAGTACGTAATACTCTTCAGTTGAGGACAAGGGACAGTATACTATCCAATTACTTAACTGCGTTCGTGAGGAAAAGAACATTAGCTCAGTACTGAGCTGGAGATTTGAGTGCCCTGAGAAGGGCCGAAAGAGCCTCTGTTCTTTACGAATGACGGCAACATCTTCCTATGATTTTGTACAAAAGCTAGTATCTCAGCTGAAGTCTAGTCAGTGGTTGTAGGAGTGTACACCTTCTTGTGTTCAGCAAGTTGTTTAAAAAGGGAACAGTGGATACATAGTTCTTTTAAAACTTCTAAATATTACTGACAACATACTGGAACACTTACTTTACTGTTCTGATTTCCATTATATTTAAAGAAAAATCAAGAAAGTCTATTTAATAGTATCTTGCCTTTCAATAAAGTTCTATACATTTACCTAATTTCTCTGAAACCTCACATTTTAAAAGTAACCCATTCTTAATGAACTTTATAAAATGTGTGTGGTATATCTGCATATCCTATTAAGGAATGTGGCCAGATTTTATTATCTCCGTTTACCGTGAGAGAAAATTGTTTAGGGACATGAAACACTATGGTTATAGCATTAGCAAAGCATTGATTTCTAGTTTATTCTTTGGTATCATATAACTGTACCTTGAAGTTTTTATTATTCTTTTATTAATCTTCTGGTTAACAACCGTAGGATTTTTATATTTTTAAAACACAGATATTTGAAATTACATAAGCAGAGAATCGATCTAAAGAGTCAGGTTTATTTTACACTCTGGAAGTTTACAGGCAAAGGTTCTCTTCCAGGTTCTCTTGTGGGGGTGAGGATTTTTAAATTCTGAGCTACCTTAAACATTAAAAAGTACAAAATGTCATCAGTTTAAGGGATTCTTACTTAGAATTCTGTCCTGATGTAGGAAGCAATAAGTAAATCATGGGAGAGGTGACTGGTACTTTCAATCATTGACTTTCCAGATCTGCCACTGTAGAAGAGCCAAGGAAGAGAAACTGCAGCAAGCACTCGCGGCACACAGCCAGCTTCACGCTCCCCTCTAGGTGAGCGGTTTCCCAGTGCCCATTCAGTCAGCTGACGGCGTAATTCTGTCCTAGCTGTTGTGTTATATGACATATAAGGTGCTCTATAGTATACAGTAGAAATCTTTTAAATGTTCTGTCACTGTGCTCTTGCCTTAAATGAAATTTTTCTTTTAGTGTTTAATAGCTACATATGTAGAATTGTAAGCTCTATGATTAGTACATTTTTCTTACCTGGTATGTGGAGTAAACCATATCACTTAGTTGACATTATTTATTTCTGAGAGAGAGAGAGAGAGAGAGACAGCATGAGCAGGGGAGGGTCAGAGAGAGAGGGAGACACAGAATCTGAAGCACGCTCCAGGCTCTGAGCTAGCCATCAGCGCAGAGCCCGACACGGGGCTCGAACCCACGAACCATGAGATCATGACCTGAGCCTACGTCGGACACTTAACTGACTTAGCCACGCAGGCGCCCCAATTTCTCTCTGGTTTTAAGCCCTCTCTAACCTGGCGTATATTTGAGAGCATTCACCTTAATTTTCCATTTTCCCCGTATGTTCTCCATTTCATGTTCTTTCTCTTATCACTGTATCTTTGTTCCGGCTCTTACCTGTTCTCAACACTCTCTTCCTTTTCCTCTCCTTCTGTCTAGTTTTAGGAATGATTTGGTTGCAAAAACTGTTGTCCACCCCACCAGATTTAAGTAAAAGTTTGTGTTGTTGAACAGTGCAGAGATATTTTCTAGAGCCAAAATGTAGGAAAGGAGAGCTCGGACGCTGAGCGTTAAAACAGGACAGGAAGGCATGATAACCGAAGGTTTCTTCTCACACCCTTGCCAAGCCTGCTTGTTTCTCATTTCCGCATCTCTGTTCTGTTTGGTTTTTTTTTTTAATTGTCACCAGTTTTTTATTTTTTACTTTTTTTTAATAGTTTATTGTCAAGTTGGTTTCCATATAACACCCAGTGCTCATCCCCACAAGTGCCCTCCTCCATGCCCATCTCTGTTCTTTTCTGTCTCTCACTCTCATGTGCTTCCCCCTCTTGCTCTTCAGAGAGCCTTTCTTTGCTACACGTTCATATGCTCCACCATTGCTGCCCACAGGCCTGATTGTATCAGGACGGTTCAGGTAGCTCGTGGCGACTAACGTTTTCACTACAGATCCCTAGCAAGCAGGCTGGCTCCGTAGCAGCTTGGCCAGCAGACTGGGGTCATGTCTTTGATCCTGTGCTCGTTCAAGTGGGCTGACGGAGTGCACTTTGAGAAGGGAGGGAAATGGCTGAATTTCTTCTACCTCAAACTCATCTGTCCCTTCTCTTAATCTAGTCATACGTAACATTAGTGCCAGCGTTGAATTGATTCATATCTTGTTTTTTAAGTCATACTGTCAATCCCTTGGGTAAGGGTTGGTTTATCATATCACAGTTTAGGAAGAAAGTGGGCACTGAGTAATTGTTTATATGAACATGTTAGAATCCTTTCCCCACCTCTTTTTCCTCATAGCCAAGTTATCTTCTTATAGACATAACTCAATTGGAAGAGAATATGAAGAGATGAAAAGTTACCATCTTAAGTTAAATCTTAGGGTTTTCTATATTCTTTTCTTTTCAGATTTTCCTGAAAACATAACCTGCCAAGACAGAAATGACACAAGACTAAGCACATTTATATGTATGATTTGCAAATTGGCATTTCATCACAGTGGCTGAATTCATGGATACCCTGTCCAGATTGTACACAGAACTGAGACTGATTTTGTATACATGAGAATGATTGCTGTGGTCTTTGCTTTGAGAAATTTTTCTGCACGATTTGCACTATAAATGTTTATTTATTGTGGATAAATCCTATCATATTTGAGTTTCACTGCTGGTCCTCTGTTATTATTAAGTACCTATGCATGTGATTTTAGCTAGTATCCATATTTTATGAAGTTGCTTTATTTGAATTTATATTTTTAATTTGAAACTGTCTCATTTGTCAAGAATGGTTTTAGATATTGTTCCTCTCAACCTTTTTGAAAAATTACTATTTTCAACTGTAGAAAGCCTTATTTTTCCTTCTCTCCAGATGATAAAATTTTCAAAAAAAAATTTGTTTTTAAATATTCATAGTGTCAGGAAACACCATTCCCTACAAATGTGTCATCTCAAAACGGTAACTTTTAATAACAGTAAATCAAAAGAATACATCAGCTGCTGATACATGATTTAATTTTTAAAATTAAAGATACATTTAAGAAGCAATACAGGTAAATAAATATTTACCTAATAGAAAAAGATTGCCCTGTGCTTCATCTCGTTCAACAACGTTTCATACTAATTTTGTTACATAAATATCTGATAGGTATGTGATTGAATAATAATATACTTTCTAAATTCCTAATGTTAAAAACAATCTTGTTAACAAATAGTAATTCTAGATACAGAGGTCAATGAATTTTTTTGATCTTTACTGTGAGTTAGCTTTTCACAGAGAACAGCGCTAGTAATAAAATTAATATTTAACTTTTAGGCAATCTAGTTTTTATTTAATTTTATTGAATTTTCTTTTTAAATTGTGTTATGTTCAGCAATTTGCTTCTATACAATGTTATAGAATGAATACATAGGTAGCTGTAAAAGCTAATAAAGGAGAAAATCTTTAACTATATGTATCTGAGGCTTTGGTAAGGGTATCTAAATCACAAAACAACCTAATGCATATTTTTGTTTAAATTTCATCCCAATATGTATTGTCATTCCAAACGCCAGCACTTGGTACAGGTTTTTTTTTTTCTTCATTCTTTTTCTTTCCCTACATGTTCTTGGCAATGGAACTTTAGAAAAAACAAAATTATTTTCTTAGACTTGAAAAATACTTAATACTTAGTCTGTGTTTGTGGAAAAGCAAGTATTCATATGGACTATAAATATATAATTGGAATAAATTAGCTTTCATTAACTGCCTGTCTCACTGGCGCTGTACTAAGGGGCCTGCTGTTTAATCTTCAAAATGACCAAAATGTTTATGGTTTGTAGATGAAAGAACTAAGGTAAGTGTTTTAAATTTGTGGCAGAATGATCTGGGTATTTAGAAACCTTTTCTTACTGCACAGACCAGCAGAACTTCCAATTTTCCCAGGAGTCACTGCTGTGGAGGACGTCATAGTCCCAATCTCTTGCAGACAATCAGGTAGCTTTCTTTTTTTTTTTTTAAATGTTTGTTTATTTTTGAAAGACAGAGAGACAGAGTATGAGCAAGGGAGGGGTAGAGAGGGAGACACAGAACCTGAGCTGTCAGCACAGAGCCCGATGGAGAGCTTGAACTCATGAACCGTGAGATCATGACCTGAGCTGAAGTTAGACACTTAATCGACTGAGCCACTGGGCGCCCCAGCTTTCTCAGAAACTGTGTAGAACCCATAACAAGAAACCAGCAGATCACAGCCATTCTGAAGGGACATCAATTCATTTGATCTACTAATTTATTCAAACATATATTCAAAATAAGTCACTGTGGAAATACTATAAAACAATTAAACATGGTTTAGGTGTTTAGGTGCTTATCTCCTTTCCCCTCCACAAAGAGACAACAGCAGCAACAACAAAAAAACAAAAAAAACCTCACCCAAATTTCTTAGTAAATTTCTTCTACATAATTATATAATTCATCTCAGTGTTTTTTATTCTTTAAGCCAAACTGTCTTATTTTCATTCTGTACCAGTTAACATAGCTTGCTTTCTCCTTCCAAAATTAGCTTCCTTACAACCCAATCATTAAAAAGAAGTTTAAACATGAATACCTGCACTTAACCAACGGATAATTTAGTTCAGATATAGGTTGTATAAGTTGTCCAAGATAGAAGAGAGTGCATTGGAACAATTCTCTGTGAATTTTGGTTTCTATTTGCAGTAGAAAGTAAATTACTTTTGGGGTAGTTTCATGGCTATTTTGTTTTCTTCCAAAAATTGGTCATTTGGAGAAGCCATGACAGAGGAGAGCAAAAATGCCTGCCAAGGCAGAGATTCTGGCTTTGCTGTAACCCATCATAGAAGACCAGATGGAAATAAGAAAATAAGGAAATCTTAGGAGTTATTATTCAAAGTAGAGGTTTTTCATGGGTAGAAATTTAAACACTAATATCTCAAAATAGAAGAAAGTTTTCTAAGTAAATAGGATGTACAGTAAAGATATTGGTTTCAAAGTTGGAAGATTTTCTAGGAATAAAATAGACTAGGAAATTTATATTGGAATAGAAATTGTTTAACAGGTAAATTTGATCATAAGATACATATGCTTAAATTGAAGAAATTTCAATGAAAATTGGAATTCATCTTTAGGGGAAGAAAGTAAACTGGTCTTAAAAAATAAAATCATATGCCAAGGTTTGCCTGGTCTTCACCTACCTTTATTCTAAAAATAGTTCCTTTGTCTATTGCTGACACGTGATCAGAGTTCTTACCTATTTTGTATCATTAAATTTTCCTGAGTATCACTAAATAACAAGTCACTTGAATTCTAAATATTACTAGTAGGGAAGCAGTCTGCTTTGAGTCAGTTTTACATTGGTTTATTACATGTGCTTTAAAACAGTTGCCCTAAATAAAACTCTTCATGTTTTATTTAAAACGAAATTGTGCTGTTAGAGAATTTAGTCTTCTTAGATTGGCCATGCTCTCTCAAGACCCTATGAAAGCAAGTTTTAATATGCAATAAATATAACCTTTTTTATAAATAACGTGTTAGATCAACTTCTAATAAGTAGTCTAAATGAACATATGTGTAAATTAGAGTATCTTGTAAAATGTTGGGGGAGTCTGAAAAAAGTTTGTGTCTGATGTCAAATACATCACATTGAAGACACTTTAAAATATCAAATACTTACACTATTTGTATTTTAAGATAAATGCATAGCTTTGTATATTTACTCTCATTTTTTAAATTTTTTAAAAATTTATTTATTTTGAGAGAGAGAAAGAGAAAGCAGCGGAGGGACAGAGAGAAAGGGAGAGTAAGAAACCCAAGCAGGTTCTGTGCCATCAGCTCAGAGTCCGATGTGGGGCAAACTCCAGGATCATGACCTGAGCCAAAATAAAGAACCAGGCACTTAACTGACTGAGCCATCAAAGTGCCCCTGTTTACTCTCATTTTTAAAATGTCTTTATTTCTGGGGGCACCTAGGGGGTTCAGTCTGTTAGGTGTCTGACTTCGGCTCAGGTCATGGTCTCACAGCTAATGAGTTTGAGTCCCGCATTAGGCTCTGTGTTGACAGCTCAGAGCCTGGAGCCTGCTTCAGATTGTGTGTGTGTGTATCTCTCTCTCTCTCTCTCTTCCTCCAGCACTCAGTGTGTCTAAAAAATAAAAACATCAAAACAATTTTCTTAAAAATTGTTTTATTTCTGTATTTTTGTAGATAGAAACTGCCAAACGGAAGACTCTAAAATCTCATCCTCAAATGTTAGGCAAAGAAGTTTCTAAGAGTTGAACTACAAGAATGGCATGTAGTGAGTTTTTGCAAAAATGCAAAGTCCATTTACAATATATCCTAAGTATCATTAACACATTATTCTTACTACGTACAGTAAATTGCAGAAAATGAACAAGTATTCCTCAGTAGAGAATGCTCAAATTTTATATCTTTAAGGAATTATACTTGTTTTATTTATATTAACAGTACTTTTATAAGCCTCTAATATATTAAAGTTCTGTTTTTAAATGATTAATACATAATTACAGTTGACCTTCGAACAATGTGGAGGTTAAGGGTGTTGACTTCCTGCACAGAAATCCACATAGAATTTTTGACTCCTCAAAAACTTACCTATCAATAATCTACTATTGACTAGAAGATTTACTGATAACGTAAACAATTGATAACTGAAAACGTAAACAATTGACAACCACATATTTCATATGTTATACATATTAAATACTGTATTCCTAGAATAAAGGAAGCTAGAGAAAAGAAAATGTTAAAATTATAAAGAAAATACATTCACCCCACTTTATTTATAGAAAAAAATTCCACATATATGTGGAACTGTGCAGTTCAAACTAATGTTCAGGGGTCAACTGAATACTGGATTATTTTATTTAAGTATATTGCTATACCCCCTCCAAACCTTTCCTGCTAGAGATTTCAGACATGTAGCTTTATTGCCCTTTCTCATCTCAGTTTTTTGGGGATGTAGTTGACATACATCACTGTTTAAGATACATAATGTAATGGTTTGACCTACATATGTGGTGAAATGATTACAATAAGTTTATTTAGCATGTATCACCTCATCTACAGTAGATAAAAAGAAAAGCAAAAGTTTTCCTTTTGTTGTTAATTGTTAAGGATTAACTGTCTTTAATATATTATCATGTACCAGTATTTGCTATACTCATTATGCTGTGTATTACATCCCTAGTACTTCTTTATCTTGTAACTGGAAGGTTGTACCTTTCCACCACCTTTCGCCAATTCCCCTCCCCACACCCCCACCTTTGGTAACCATTAATCTGACCTCTTTTTCTATGAGTTTTGTTTTTTTAGATTACACATAAGAGAGAGATCATACGATATTTGCTTTTCTCTAACTTATTTCACTTAGCATAATTATGCCCTCAAGTCTATCCCATGTTTTCACAAGTGGCAGGATTTCCTTGTTCTTCATTGCTGAATAATCCTCCATTGTGTATATATACTCACCATTTTTATTCATCCATCATTGAACAGTTAGGTTATTTCCATGCCTTGGCTATTGTAAATAATGCTGCTGTGAACATGGGGATGCAGATACCTTTTAGAGTTACATGTTCTTGTTTCCTTTGGATATTTTTCCAGAAATTGAATTGCTGGATCAGATGGTAGCTCAATTTTTTTTTTCCCCAAGGACGATTTGTACTTTTGTTAGTTGATGATAATTGACAGGCAGTACTGATGAGTTTCAGGTATACATGGTGATTTGATATATATTATGAAATGATCACTACAGTAAGTCTCATTACCTATTTGTCATTATACAAAATTGTTACAATATTACTGTATTCCCTATGCTGTACATTATATCCCATCTTATTTTATAATTGGAATATTGTATCTCTTAATCCCCTTCACCTATTTTGTCTGTCCACCTCCTCTTCTCTATAACCATCAGTTTGTTCTGTGTATCTGTGAGTCTATTCCTGTGTTATTTTGTTTGTTCATTTGTTTTGCTATTTAGATTACACAGATAACCGAAATCATACAGTATTGGTTTTTTTCTGACTTACTTCATTTAGGATAATACCCTCAAGGTCTATGCAAATTGTCACAAATGACAAGATTTCACTCTTTTATGGCTGAATAATACTCTGCTGTGTGTGTGTATATAGACATATACACACGATACACGCGTGCACATAAACACCACTTCTTTAATCCATACATTATGCATATTTAGGTTGCTTCAATATCTCTGCTGATATAAATCATGGTTCAGTGAACGTGGGAGTACATATGTCTTTTCCAGTTAGTGTTTTTGTTTCCTTCAGGTAAACACCTAAAAGTGGAATGGCTGGATCTTCTGGTAGTTCCATTTTTATTTTTTTGAGTAAACAGCGTACTGTTTTCCGTAATGGCTCACCGCTCTACATTCCCACCAACAATTCAGCAGGGTTCCCTTTTCTCCACAGCCTCACCAACATGTTATTGCTTGTCTTTTTGATAATAGCCATTCAGACAGATAGGAAGTGATACCTCATTGTGGTCTTGATTTCCATTTCACCATAGTTGCTGATGTTTAGATCTTTTCATATGCCTGTTAACCATTTCTGTGTTTTCTTTGGAAAAATGTCTATTCAGGTCCTCTACCCATTTTTAACCAAAATTGTGTATTTTTTGATACTGAGTTGGAAGAATTTTTTATATATTTTGGATATTAACCCTTAATCAAATATGTCATTTGCAAATGTCCTCTCCCATTCAGTAGGTTG